TTTTCAAAATCAACAAATCTGTTCTGTTGGCTCCTTTAACTGCAATAATAGCCAGTCTGTCACTGAGCCAACTGGAAACAATGATTAACTGGACAATCATCACAGAGTGTCTGAAACCCAAACTGTGGGGGCCTTGCCCCTTCTGAGAGCTGGTCCTGTGAAAGAACTGTTTGTCACTACAATAGCTCTGGGACTCAGACCAATATATTTCTGCCCAGCACAACATGATTCTTTAGGCATTGGTGGGTGGGCAATGAACAGGCAAATGTTCCCTACAAGACAATTTTTCTAGTGCAGAGACTACAATTTAAGATTTGCATTGGCCATGTTAGCTGGAAATGCTGGGATTTCCTCTTTTAACTTGTCTGAAAGACCTCGAGGTGAGGTGAGGTGGGGTGGGGTGGGCTTAGAAGTGGTAGATCTGTGATCAAAGCTACACCATACCACACCATCACAGGGCCAATTTTTGCTTCAGGTTCTACTCCTTGACCTGAACTTTAAGTCCTAACTCAGGTTCCTCATTCTATTCCTGATGAACCATGGACAGTCATGACTCTTCTTCACAAAGACTTTTTCCATATGGCCTTGCTGATGGTACTTTCTAAAGGCAAGTCCCAAGGGGATGCATTTCATAGTTTGGGAACAACACAGAAGTTTCCCTCCTATGCATCTGAAAAAGAGACTTCAGAAAATGAAGCCATCTTTAAGCCTCTGTTGCTCATCGTAGCCCTGAACAGGTTCACACTGAAACAAACAGTCCCTAGTTAATCAGGTCCTAAGCTCTTGAAGGCTTTAACTTTTGTAGCTCTACTTCTTTATGATCTTTAGTATAAGTAGTCAAGGGCTAGAACAAAGGCATTTCTCTTTTTATCTCTTCCCTCTGTGTTATTGCTATTGCTTTCAAATGACATCTGACACTTTGTCTTTAAGTTTTCTTACTCACAGATTAGAATGCCACTTCATTATCTGGGAGTTGAAGTCTGATAATCTTCAGATGCTTTAGATCTGTATTTCTTCATCTCTCTGTATAAGGTTAACCAACTGCCCAATATTTCAAGTTTATTTAATTTTGAATGGCACTGTCGTTTAATTTACAAACTTGCCTATCTCTAAGTATCTAGATTGTCCCCAGACTATGTTGGGGTGGCTCTATTATTATTTTATTTGGTGATGCCTCTATTTCACTGCCAAACTGACTAGGCATTTAGCCACTAATTAGGGAAAACTATATATAGTACACACACACACACACACACACACACACAATGGCAGTAAGATAAAATCTGGTGTGTGCGCGTGGCTTTGTGGGATTTGGGGACACAGCCATTGCAGTTTATAAACCATGGTTTATGGCTAAGCTGTTGCATGAACCCAGCCAATTAACTACTAAACCATGGTTAAACAGCTTTGCATGACGCAAACTAAGCCTACCAGATTTCAGCTGCAAAAATATAGATGGCAACAGAGAGATCTCTCTCTCTGCTGCCATTTAATGCTCATGGAAACATCTGCAGCCCAGAGTTGTAGCCCTAGTGCAAACTCATTCATGTTGCTCCCTGCTTTACAATAGACATGCATAGTATTAAAGGGATGGCTGATAATTACCACGACAAATTAAATTGTGATGATTTTACTAAGAAGGATCTTGAAATGAATGCGGTTGTTTTCCTACTTTACCAAGCACTGTCCCTAAAAAGCACAGGGGAAATAGAATCCATTTTTTAGCACTTACTATATATTCAGTGCATCTTTCTGCATCTTTCTGAACACCTACAAGAAATGCATTTGCAACATATACATATATTATAACAAACAGATGGACTAAATAAATGTGGAAGGAAAAAAAAAAAAGGTAGCTGAGGGTCATTTGAGAAATCCTGCAGATCAATTTAAAAGCTGTCCATCCATGTAGAGCAAGCAGCTGCTTGGTTAATAGATGTTCATGTGATGGCAGAACAGAAGATCTGCATGACTGACTTGGGTTCTGTGATTCTGAGAGTGAAAGAAGCCTGGTTCAGGGTCAACTCTTTTTTTTGCGTGTTCACTTCTGCATCTCGACCAGCTCTGTGCTTTCCTCATAAAGAAGCACAGAGCAAGAAATGGCAAATATTGGCATATGGGCAATTACATTACTTACAACATAGGCATAGTTTCTCTCATTAGCTTTCACTTGTAAGAACCACAAATCAATGCTTTCTTAACTCAATCAGAGACCCGTTTTTAAAACAGACTTCTCCCAAAGGAAGTTCTGTGAGCTGCAGGTCCAGTACCTCCCAATCTTACTCAGCTGGGAAAAGCCTTAGAATAGAGCAGTGTTTCTCAACCTTGGCCACTTGAAGACGTGTGGACTTCATCTTCCAGAATTCCCCAGCCAGCCATGCTGGCTGGGGAATTCTGGGAGTTGATGTCCAGACATCTTCAAGTGGCCATGGTTGAGAAGCACTAGAATAGAGACACACAACCTGAGGCCACAGAAAGTCCACCCAATTTTTAATGTGACCAAGACATCTAATGTTTAATGTGTCTGAATGGAATAATTAATACAATTATCTCTAGTGTATTTAATAACCCTACCCTTTTGATACTTTACTGTACAGGTAGTCCCCGGGTTAAGAACACCCGGTTTACAGATGACCCATAGTTAAGAAAGGAGCCTATTGTAGCAAAATTTGAGTTAAATACTCAATGATTTGAGTTAAATACACAATGGCTCTAGTTAATTACACAATACTACTTATACAATATTATACAATAATACTGTTCCAGCTTACATACAAATTCGACTTAAGGACAAACCTTGGGAATGGAACTCGTTCTTAAACTGGGGACTACCTGTATTAAGCTTTTCAATTTAATCTAATTTTTGTTCTGGCATTACTTTGTGTGGCCCCCAGGATTCCACTCAAAGGCATCTTCTTCCTCTTCCTCTTCCTCTTCCTCTTCCTCCTCCTCATCAATCATCAATCATCAATCATCATCATCATCATCATCATCATCATCATCATCATCATCAT